CCCAGCGGGCCCCCAGCGGGGAGACGGGCGACGGGGTGCCCAGCGGCCCTCTCAGGGGGGAGACTGGCAGCCGGGCGACGGCGGCACAAAAGGGCGGGAAAGGAACTGCGCTGCGGCCGCCTCGGGCACCGTCGCGAGGCCCCCGGCCCCCGCCCCCCCGTCGTGTCCGAGGAGCAGGGGACTCCCTCACGTACCCGGACCCACGACGCGGACGCAGAAGCCACTGGCCTCGTCCTTCCGGGGGCCACGCTGCGGGGGTCCGGGCGGACTAACCCCGCCCCGGCGGCCGGCCGGCGGGTCGCCTCAGGAGCAGCCGGCACCTAACCCGCCGACCTGACCTCTTGACCCGCTCACCGGCGCGGAAGCCGGGCGTCTGTCGTAAAGTGCCGTAAAGGCGCCGGCGTTTGCGGCACCGCAGGTAGAGCGGGCGGCGTGGGTCCCGCCGGTCGCGAACCCGCCGCTCGGCAGCCGCAGCCCGGTGGTCGCCCGCTTCCAGGTGGGTGTGAGGAGAGAAGGGGGGGCGGCTGAGGGGCGTTTACCCCGGCCCTTACCTGGGGGGTGCGCCAGCCTCGCTCCTCGGGACCTGCGGTTCCCCTGGAGCTGGGTCGGTTCTCGTCTTCGCGTCCATCGCCGGCTTCCTGGTGCCCGCGGCGCCGCCGACGCCCGTGTTCCTTGCTCATTTGTCCTGCAGCCTCTCTCCGCCGGGACTTCGAAATGCTTTACCTGATCGGCTTGGGCCTGGGAGATGCCCAGGACATCACCGTCAAGGGCCTGGAGGCTGTGAGGCGCTGCCGCCGGGTGTACCTGGAGGCCTACACCTCGGTCCTGCCCGTAGGGAAGGAAGCCCTGGTAGGTGCCGAGGCCTCGCCCCCGGGAAGGTTGCCGCCCGCAGCCGGTGCCGTGCCCCCCGCGTAACCGAATCCGCAGGCCTGCTTGTCAGACCCTTTCAGACGCATCCCCGGCTCCTTAAGGATTTGGGGAGAAGGGGACCCGTAGGCCAACCAAGCGAGGGGGAGAGTGAAAGGGTGCTTCGTCTCGCTTTACAAGTCTAACCTCGGCGCTTTCTCCAGAAAGTAGGAAAGGAAGGTTATTTTACACCCCAGGGCATGGTTATCAGACCCCTTACCTCTGAGACAGCCAAGCAGCACTGTCTGAGTGGAGGGCTGGTGAGGGGGCTCACTCATCCTTAAGGAGCTGCTTACATGTCCAGACACCAAGCTGGAAGTCTTTCCACAGGGAACAGTAATTGCCTTTCTGTCTGTATCAATCCAGAGGCGTCTTCCTTTTCTATAAGCATCTTCCTGTAAGGCTCCTACCCAAACACCTGTATGTACTGAGCGATCCCGGCTGGTAGTCACCGCACCAGGTGTTGGGGTATCTTGTTATAGCTGGTTGTCATTGAGTTTTGGAGGAGAGGTTAAATTCAGGCTCCCTCCCATTACAGCGATCCTTATAACCTTGGACTGAACGATATAATCCTTGTAACGAACGTGATCCTTACGACTAGCAAACATCTCAGCATGTAAGAAGTAGTATCATTCAGCAGTGCATGCACTTTGACTGTGTTTGAATTACATGTCACTGCACAGGGAATCGGTTGTAAGACTCACGATCTTGCTTAGTAGCTGTACCCACTGCAGCCTGACCGCCAGCCCACCAGGCCCCCCTCTCCTCACATGCTGCCCTCCAGTGAAGGTCAGCTCCTGGACATCTTCTCCAGAGCTGACGTCAGGGGTTAGTTCCCAGAGCACTTTGTAGGGAGGCTTCCTGTACGTTTAGAATTCTCTCCTTCCGCTGCCGCTCTTCCTTTTTCAGCAGGAACTACGAAGTACTGCTCTAAATTAGTCTTTCCTGCAATTAGATGGGAATCTTTACTGCTTCTGTAAGCAACTAAATCGTAATCTTCGCTCATTTCTCATTGATGCTGCCTTTTATTTTAGCTAGGGTCCCATAGGTTTTCCCAAGGAAAAGTTAATAAAACCCAAACTACCGTGTACACTTATAATTATTGTTTAATATAGCTATTCCATATTACTGTGTTTCTGAAGGAAGGCTCATGCATACATACATAATCTCTGTTCATCCTACAGTGTTCTGCCTGGTGTCTTAGATCCATATCGAGAGGTAAATTTAAAATGCAAAAAGCCTCAGATGTGTGGAGATCGACCCCCTCTTGGGATATTAAGAGAACCCCAAAGACAGAGTTTAATTGCAACTTGATGTAGACTGCTAGCTCACTGATGAGTTGTATTCAGTACTCTGTGTTTGGGTAATTGCCAAAATCTACACCAGCCCCAGACAAAGATTGTTGTGTGTGTGTGTGTGTGTGTCCCAATTGTCACCTGCTGTCTCATTTTGATGACACCCACAGGAAGAGTTCTATGGAAGGAAACTGATTCTTGCTGATAGAGAAGAGGTGGAACAAGAAGCAGACAGTATTTTGAAGGACGCAGACGTCAGCGATGTTGCATTCCTGGTGGTCGGTGATCCTTTTGGGTGAGTCACAGCAGGCGTCTGAATTTCAACTGTATTTACTTCTTCCTAATCAGTAAGGGTCATCCTGTTACATCCAAAATCTTCTACCTGTCAGGCTGTAATGGGGGACTCTGTCTACGTAGGCTCTGTCTAAAATTTTGTCGTTTAAACTTTCATTATCTTTGATACTGATGAAGAGCTGCTTGGCAAGGGTGTGACCATGTGTATCACCTGCGTTGTTTATCAAGTGTCAGCTCTAAAGCCTGCATCATTGCTTCCGCTGTTCTTTTAGGAGGTCACGAGGGCGTCCAATGGCTTAGCTAGTATATTGCTATTAAATAAGCATATTACACCTGCCATTTGTTTTGCAGGTAAATTGCAAGCATCTTCTGCTTCCTTTGTCTAGGCCTTTTTTCCCTTTTCTAATTATCTCATATTTAGCAATATTGCTGTCACTTTACCTGCCATGAATTTATCATCTGTCAAACCTCAGATTTCAATTTCTCATACCCACTGGGAGCCCTGTTCCTCCCCATTACAAAGAGGTGGGCCTCCGCTTGCCTATCGGGCACCATCAATCTCTGATGTCAAGCCAAACAGAAGAGTCTTTGTCTCCAACTGGTGACCCAAGAGTTATGTCACAGATTTAAAAAACATAAGGACGATTAAGTCACTGTGAGCCCACCACCAGGGATATTTTTCAAAAGGATGGAGTTAGGGGTGCATGTGTCTGTCAGGAAGAAAGTAATTTATATCTATATGACATGCCAGGGACTGTGTGTCATTATTATGCTTGGTTGCAAATGACACTGGATAATCAGACATTTTAAAATATTTAAATAATTTATTTTAGCCTCTGACACTGTTTCCTGTAAAAGTAAGACTTTCTCCAAAGGCAGTACCTGTCTTCTCCAACCTCCCCCCCTTTTTTTGGCCACAAAATAGTAAAATAAAATAAGGGTATTTTAAAATCCTATATAGAAAATGTCTTGGAGCCCTTGTAGGATTTTCTCGCTATCACAGTGGTTCCTGCAGAATCCCATCTTCTCTGTATGACACCTGGACTCACCGAAACCTCCAGACTTGATGGTGCCACAATGCTTACAGTCACCTGAACAAGTAGCCTCAGAGTCACCTGATGTCACATCATCCAGTCACTGACGAAGCCCAGAAGCCGGGGCTTGTATTTCTGGGCATGTGGCTCTATCCACAACCTCGTGTGTGTGTGTGTGCGCGTGTGTGTGGGTGGCTATATGATTGTGATAGAGCACCATGCCTAGAAGCAGTAATGTCGTCTTTACACACACGCTTTCCATTCACCGTAAATGAGGCCTTCCCCGAGCCTGAGGCGGGTGTGCTTAGGGTACTGGTGTAAGCCTGTGCTTCAGACCAGTTTTGCCCTTTTTCTGACAGTGGTGTCGTCTAGGCAGTCAGGTGATAGATGCAACTTCTGTCACAAATTTTTACAGCAGAGCTCTCCTTAGTTAAGCATGCGTATGTCAGTTTCACAAAATCAAAGCACTTGGCCAGGTCGTTAAATCTTCACAGTGCACCAGCCACATCTGGTCATTTTAAATGAACTCATGATACAAAGAGAGGCCGTTTTAAACCTGATTTTCTCTCTGCTCGTCTATTTAAATTACTCATCAAGTAAATAATTCAGCCTTCCTCAATCTTAGTGATAAGTTGTGAGATTCTGTCGGCTATGATATTAACAACATTTTTTTTACAACTGGCATTCATGTTGTTTTTTAAAAGCCTACTCTAAATCAAATTAATGGTGGTTTTTTATACTAGTTTTTATTTTCTGTGTATGATTAGAAACAGGCTTCCCTGGTGGGCATTTGTTAATCTGTCTGTGACGGCCTCCTGGGGTGCAAGCCCTTGATCTTCCTACTTGGTATTCGCTGTCCAGAGTTTCTCAAACATGCTAATGTTGCCAGCCCCAGCAGGCCCGGAGGTTTCAGGGGGAAAAGGCCTCTTTAGCAATGAGATTCTGAATTGATGTGGCACATCTCAGAGTCTCCATATTTATATTTATATACAGGGGTGTGCAAAAGTAGGCGTACAGCTGTGAGTATGTGAAACACAGAGTTTATTCTTGTATCATTATTCGTTCATTTGTATTTATTTCTATTACAACCGTAAGCCTATTTTTGCCTACCCCCATATATTCGCTCTTCCCCACAATCTGTCTAATTATAATCATTAGATTTAGCTCAAAAGAGGTAAGGCAACAGGCAGGATTTGCACATGTACGAATTACACATAGGAAGACTGTTATAAATACCAAGACTGCTAGACAGGTGTGGAATCCGACCAAGAGTCTGTCCACTAGAGCTCTAGTACAGAAAGACGAATATTGACAGGCTGTGAAAAGGCTCTGTATATTCTGCCGTGTTGGATTTTAAATACAAAACAAAACCGTCAAAATATAGCAGAGATCAAGAAGTAGGTCTGTCTGTGCCATAATTTTGGCCCTAAGACCAAAACGTTTGACAACCCTGCTCCAGAGTTCAGTTGCTGAGCTCACACCCACAGATGTCGGCAGGTGTTCACGGGACAGAAGAGCAAGGAAACAGCCAAGGCTGCTTAAAGTGGGTCAGGTGCAGTTCAGCGTATGAAGGGTGTGTGCAGACTTATACTTCTCCTGCCGAAAGCCCAGGAATTGAGGAAAAGCAGTGCCCGACACTTTGATCTACTTGAGCTCATGAAATATTATGGCTCTGCTGTCTTAAAAAGTGAATTGGTTATTTGAATCCAACCCAGTCTTTTCTCACTCCAGGGCTACGACGCACAGTGACCTGCTCCTGAGAGCCACAAAGCTGGGCATCTCCTGCCGGGTCATCCACAATGCCTCCATTATGAGCGCCGTGGGCTGCTGCGGCCTGCAGGTAACCCACAGAGGGAATGGCTTCTAATGACATTGAGCAAAAATGTTTTATTTTCCTACAAATTGCAAGTAGATTTTATTATATTTCATAAACTATAAGACATTATTATTTTATACTGCATTTGTGTATACTAAATTTTTTAATACTGAAAGTTTTTATACTTTTTCTCTATAATTTAGATCCCCCCCCCATAGGAATAGACCATTGAATTAAACTAGAGAAATATTTTAATCTTACATTAATTTGCGCATACATAAAAAGCAAATATAATCTAATTAAATCGATTCAGTTTTCCAAAGCCTTTTTACTGTCTCCCAAATGGCTTGCTGTGTGTTGCTGAGCCCATGCTTTTCCACACAGTGTTATTCTTTGTGCCTCAGGGCACTGTGGTACAGCATTTCTTAAAGAATCTATAAAAGTCAAAAGCCAGTGCCTGGTAGGCTTTTAAGCCAACTTTGTAATTATTAGTGTGTAAAGTTATTTTTAACCCAACAGTCTTCATTCTGGGGGTTAAATGAAACATGTTTTCTTGTTCCATGTTATCTTGTACTTTTCTTGGAAGGATCATAGTAGCCATATGTGTTCACTGTCATAGATACCTTAATAGGCGATAAACACGAGGACAGGGCTTCAGGTTCTCTTCACCTGTCTCTCAGAGCACCCAGCGGGGCTCTGACCTTGCAGTTGTGATGCTCGGAGACGTGAATTGAACAGAATGCTTAGCTTCATAGTATTGGCCTTTGGTTTTGGTAACATCACTCTCTGAGCCCCAGTTCCCTTTCGGAAAAGAAACATTGCTTTAAAAAATAATTTTAACTGATTTTAGGATGAAACCACATAATATAAACAGTCATTGTAATTATTAGTAATAAGCGTCATTAAAATAGCATGAACCAGTAGAATGACTTCCTTTGCATGCTCTTGCTGGCAGGGTGGGCAGGCTTGATAAACTAACCAGTCTTTTCTATCTCTGATGTCTGTTTTGATTGTTTGAAGTTTTATGTAGACAAGTACAAGCTAATGAATATGGGTAGGAACATTGACACGGCTCATGCTCACTGGCGGGCTCTGAGTTACTCCAGGTGTAAGTGCTCAGGAAACAGACCTTGAGTTCACTCAGTGGAGACATCTGCCCGCTGGGAGTGGCAGTCAGAGAGTGGATGAGATACACTGGGCCGTGTTAATTTTCAGAATGGGATCAAGAGTAATGCAGAAAATAATACAACTCACATAATCTGGCATTGACTATTTCTGTAATTACAATAAAACATTTTAATGATTAAAAAGCAAACCCTGTGTTATTGGTTGCGGTTGACTTCAGGGCACGGTTGTAAAATTTTCTCGTCATTATGAAACGCTTCCACTTTCTCTGGCAGTTGCGTAAGTGGCCTCAATCGTTGCCATATTTCTCCCTGTTTATATAAGATACTCCTACTGTGATACCAGCATGTTGACCTCAAAGGAGTTCTCACTGTCCGTTTTCAAGGCAGTCACTGGGCCTTACAGTGGTCCCGGGACTGATGTAGAAGTGACCAAGCCTTAGGAGGCTAAACCTGGTAACTTGTGTAGCGAGCTCTGTAGGTGACGTAGCCCTCCAGTCCATTAGTCACTTTGGAATTACTTTTGACCACTTGATAAGTAAGGGGCATATTAAAATTTTTTTCTTCCTTTTCCATTTCCACTATAACTTTTAATCACTGTTTTAATAGCTACCTTACATCATTCTCTCCCACTTTATAGTTGTTTTTTATTATGGATCTGATTGTGCCATTCTACTCAAACAGTCCTGGTAAATCCCACCCTGAACACAGCGTTGAGTGACATGTGTATGAGTGTGTCTTTGTGTGTGTGTCTGTATGTGTTTCTGTCTCTGTGTCTGTGTGTGTCTGTCTGTGTGTGTGTTTCTGTCTCTGTGTGTGTCTGTGTGTGTGTTTCTGTGTCTGTGTCTGTGTGTGTCTGTCTGTGTGTGTGTGTGTTTACCGTATCACAGACTCCTTGGTTTACTCGTCACACCTCCCATTGCACCTCATCGCAGTGCCATGCACATAACCGATATGCAACAAATATCTGCCAAGTTGAATGACTTATTTATGTATTTATCCCCCCAAGTTGGATCCTGTCTTTGGAATTACAAGCTTTAAATTGTAATCCTTTCATTAATTCCTATGTGGATCCGCTCATCTTTGTGTGAGAATATAAACCTCGTCTTCTGCCTACCCAGTTGTCCAGTTCTCTGTGCCTCGCATGTGGCCTGTGCACATTCTTTCCTGAGTCAGCAGAATCCATGTGCATCAATGTTGAACAGAATGCATGAGGATTAAAACCAACTCCACAACCAGATTGTGTGGAAAGAGAGTAACTCGTGATTATGTGGATCTGTGGCGCTTTCTGACAGCTGCTGGCTCAGCTTTCTTTTATTTCACACACTTAACTGATCTGATTTAGAATAAACATATACATAAAAAATGTGTGGGGCATAATAGTGGTCTTAGCAAGTTAAATTTACTAATTTTCCATATGCAGAGAAGATATTTTTTAACTTAAAAGTGACTATTTTTACTTGAATGTAAAATAACAAAAGATTAAAGCCTAATTATGAAATGGAGTTTGCAGAGCATCTGTGAAGGGAATATCGGTGGCAGTGGTGTTGAGGACTCATAGAGAAGAGAAATCAATAGTCAGTTTCTAGTACATTATGGAGCGGGAATGGACAGGAATTGGCTTATGGTAAGATTCAGGCAGTAGAGTACTTGTTATAGGCATGTTGGGCAATTGCTGTCTCTAGGTAAGTTGCTCAATGCCATTCTAAATATTGCCCAAGATTTCCCACGTCTGTTCCTTTGTTCCTACTGTCTTGGTCTGCCCCAGTGTGCAGTTGCTGCCATCTAAATCTTACCCTCCCTCTAAGGTCTCACCTACTCCTTTCTCTGCAGAAATTACCTTCAGGTGCTCTGTCAGAGGGGCGTGCTGAACTACAGTACACACAGCCTGCACCTCTCATCTTTGATCATTACTTGCTACCTACTGTCTGTCTTTCTTGTGTATCTTCTCACTCTAACTAGTGTCTTATATATAGAAAAATGGCTCATTTTGAGGCAAGTGTTTGTCTTCAATAGATAAAAGCATAATCCAATATCGAGTTAGATAAACTGCTGTGTGGAAAGCTTCCTCCAGGTGAAAACAAACAAACAATAAGTGTGCATTGACCTACTATTGTTAGAAAGCAGCTCTGTGCATAGCCTCTACATTGAGCTCTGCATCCATAGTTTGGGGGGAGATGGTCACAGTGCAGAGGCCGCCTACAAGCCGGTCACCGCTCGGGCTCTGAAGCCTCGGTTCTCGTCACTGTGGTGTTGCCCCAGTGCTTTTCATAGTTTACTGGTAAGTGTTGGGTTGTGCAACACAGACAGGCCCTTCTGTTCTTTGAGGTACTGGCATCCAGGTGGTGAAACTGTTTGCATAATGCTCTGGAGTTCGTTGAAGAAGTTTGCTCCACCGTGGCCGTGGGAGTGACTGTGCCCATAACTCAGGGTCTAAGAAGCAGTGCTCACAGGAGGTTCCCTTTAAGCCCCCGAGTTGGGCGGTTCAGAGACGCTGTGCACAGAATGGTTCAGCTAACATCTCAATTCCCTTTCAAACAATCTGTCTCTTTCTCTGTTTTTAAGTATGTTTTTATTGATTTTTTGTTGTTGTTTTAGAGCTAGAGGAAGGGAGAGCGTGTTAGAAGGAGAAACATTGATGAGGGAGAAACATTGGTCGGCTGCCCCCTGCTCTCCCCCTACTGGGGATCAAGCCCACAACCCAGGCATGTGCCCTGACGGGAATTGAGCCGGTGACCTCTCGGTGCATGGAATGGTGCTCAACCAACTGAGCCACACAAGCCAGGGCTGTCCCTTTCTCTTTGAGCGGGGAATTCACCTCTAGGAATCCTGAAATACCGACCCTTTCAGAGTGTTTCTGTATGGCTGCCTATATAATTTAACTTCAATAGTTTTCCCTTGCAGTTTTTTTTACAGAGTAGTACTTATATTTTCATAGCTAACAACCAAAATAAAAAGTGAATTGTCCCATCATTAATTAAGGATTTGATTTTTCCCCCAGCTGTATAAGTTTGGAGAGACGGTGTCCATTGTTTTCTGGACGGACACGTGGAGACCGGAGAGCTTCTTTGACAAGGTGGCAAAGAACCGGCAGAACGGGATGCACACGCTGTGCCTCCTGGGTAAGCGCAGGCGGCCGAGCCACAGCCGCAGTCGTTCTGTGTTCTCCTCTGCATGTTGTGTTGGGTGGACCTACTCTGCTGGTAGCCAGCTGGCAGTGAGAAAGGAGCGGCCTGGCCGCCCGCAGGCCCCGCTCTCCCAGCCTCTCGGGAGACCTGCGCTCTGCTCCGCTTACCCTGTGGCTGCGCCGTGTCATGCCCTGAGATGCCCATCCTCTCCACGGCTTCCGAAGCCCAGCGCCCCTCAGGCCACGAATGCTCCTCCCTGTATCTCATAGTTGACTGCTATGCTGTGTTTTCTTATTTTAGCTTATTGTCCGAGCAATCTAGGACTTTGTTAATTAAGTAATTAGTTGTATTGTTTTTGTCCTTGGATTTCTCATGTGGAAAGAGACCAGTCTTACTGTTTTGTGGTTTAAGTATATGACAGCTGAGAGATTGAAAACTGGCACTCATGGGCACTTGGACACTTGTGTGTGTTTTACAGCAGGACAGGGAGAGAAGAGCTGCAACGGGCAAGCTGCTCCAGAACTTCTCCGTGGAGCCATGAAGAGTGGGGGGAGGGCAGAGAAAGTAGCACTGATCTTTTGGAAGCTGTGGAGAGGCAGTTAGAAAAACGGTCTCCAGGTATTTGCTGAGTGTTTGTTTCCTCCATGCTCAGGGTGAGGTGGGCTCTCCTGGGACTGTCAGGAAGTGTCAGACGTGGGTCCTGCCCTCAGGGTTTAGAAATCTAGCTGGAGCTAATATGTTGCACAGAGAGGTTTGAAAGGACAATTCGGTTCCATTGTGTGGAGAGGCAGGAAGGACAGACCCGAATGCTGGCTCCCTAGCTCTCTTTCTAAGAGCTGCCTTTTTTCTTGGCTTTCCTGGGAAAAGGCAAACAAAGTTAAACAATATCTTTCTTAGTCTGTTAACAAAAGCAGGAACAAGGTATGAAGTACAGGGTGGGGCAAAAGCAGGTCTACAGTGGTTCACATGGAAAGTAATACAGTAATTAATAAATAATCAGACGAGAATAAACCCTGTTTCCCATACAGCTATAACCTACCTTTGCGCGCCCCCCCCCCCGGTATGAGATACCTTGATCCCAAGTCCTCAAACCATGGATCTCATCATTCAGTCATCTGGAACCTCCTCATTTAAATTAGTACGTGCTTATTGAATGCCTGCTATTGGGCCAGACTCTGTCGGGATTAGTGAGAATATACCATGGTAGGCAACCACAGAGAATTTAAAATGTATTTGGAAAGATAAGACCAATCTATGTGATGGAATTACAGTTTAGTAAAATATGGCATTAGTTGTATAGATATTTCCAAGAACAGAGAACATTTGAGGGGAAGTGAGCAAAGGTCTTATGAAGGAGTTGGCGCCCACACACTTCCAGGATGGGTAGTTTCAGATGGACTGGTGGGTGGGTGAGTGGTGGCGGGCGAGCTCGTGAGCACATGTATCCTGGAGACGTTTGTGGAGTGTCTACCCACAAGTTTGCACATGCTGGGTCCTGGCTCTGAGATGAGTAGGGGAAGTTCACACATCAGGACATGGAAGGAAAGGAGTGACTACAGCCTGTGTTACGGCAGGAAAGAAACACTAAGACTGGTCAGGCTTGAGAGGACTTCACTGATGTTCAGCTACAAAGCAGTCACCCCTAAAATCCCCAGGTTGTCTTCTTTTTTAAAATACAGTTCTGTAGAGCATGTAATTCAAAAAGCAAAAAAAAAAGAGGGAAATAATAAATTACAATTTTTACTATCACAAATAACACTTCAGAAGTTCAAGGTGAATGATTAATAGCTGTTTTGGATTTTGAAAAATCTCACAGGTACCATTTAAAGGGATCTAGGTTGACTTACACTCCCAGTAGTGCTGGAGGACATGTTTTCAGTAACAGATATGCACTTTCCCCTGTATGTCCAGATAAGTGGAAATGTTAAATACTGATATTTCAAACCAGAAGAATACTTTCATCACTGGTCCCAAGGACATTTAGAAGTACCTATGTGGGATTAATCTCTGCTGTATTTTTCAAGCAGAGTCTTTAGTGTCCTTTCTAAGAAAAACTTTTATGATCACTTAGGAGAACCAGAAGTCTATCAGCAAGACCCCTCAGTTGCACTCTGTTTATTTTTGCAAAAACAAACCCTGGCTGACCCATTTGTTTTGAGCCTGTGGAGCAGGAAGCAGCTGCTGCCGCTGTGTACTGAATCCCTTCGAGGCCGGGGAGGGATCTGCCTTCTTAGCTTTTACCAACCAGTCCAGCGAGTGCCAGTGCCTGAGAGTAAAGCATCATGTTGCTATGCTTGGGCTGCCGGGCTTCTCAAAGGCAGGTTCTGTGCAGTAGCCCCCATGGCGTCCCCGTACCTGGTCCAGGCCAGTGCTGGGGAAGCCCTGGTCATTCATGACTGTTTGGTGTTAAAGTGTAAGCTCTTCATAAGCTATCAGGGCAGGCCTGACCCTTCATGAGAAGGCAGAAGTCTTGTCTCTTCTGTAGTAAGAATTTCCTTCTATGTATGTTGCATGCATTGAGACTGACCTTCTGGTGCCTGAAAAACAGGTAAGGGGAGGAACATAACGAGATTCTCACTTGGGGCTGTGCTGTCACCAGCTGGTGGAAGTGAACTCAGAGATGCGGATTAGCTGTTAGGGACTGTACACGCCAGTATTTGTGTGACTCCTTCCTGTGCCTTCTCTTCCAAGAGGAAATTAGAGCCTCTCAGGATGATCTCAGGGCCAACCTCATATTTGTTTCCTAACTAATTACCTTCACACAACCACAAGCTCCCATTCTCTGTGTTTCCACTGAAAAGTGGATAAATACAAGCGTGAGGGAGACTCATAAACACTCAAGTGAGCTTTTTGGAGACTTGAAATGAACATTTCCCCCAAAACTTAGGTTTACACGTGGGATTTGGGGTACAGTGATTAATTACATTAAAAGAGAACTATTTTTTATTTTAATCTCCTGCAGACATCAAAGTGAAGGAGCAGTCATTGGAAAATCTAATGAAGTAAGTCTTGTTCTGGGAGTGCTCCCATCTTATTTTAATTCCTTAGCAAGTCAATAGATTCTGCTCCCATGGCATCAGTTCTGAAGATTGTAAAAAATCAGCTGTCCCTACAGATAAAGCCGGAACACTTTTAATCATTATTAGGTAGTGACAAAAAGTCTGACAGAGTGGGCGTGGCCTGGGCTTCACGGGTCCATTGCTGAGCATGGTGGCCAGCACTGGGCAGGCACTCGGCACTATTTGTGGGATGAATGAATGAACTGGGCGTCAGAAGACAGGGGTGAGAGCCCTCAGTCTGGCTCTTGGACAAGTGACTTCTGTCTCTGAGCCTTGTTTTTCTCACATGACCAATGAGAGTAACAGTCCTTTTCGCTTAGAGAAGCGGCATCCAAATAGCGGCTCCTTCCCACACCTGAGGGAGGAGCCCTTGAAACAGGGCTGTCACTGAAAAGCTACTAGAAAATTTAAATTTATGCTGTGGCTTACATTGTCTCTCTCAGATAGTGCTGACCCAAGAGTTGTGTTGACAGTGAGTAAAATAATTATATCAACCTTTTTGTAAGCAGCTCTGTTTTTATTATGGTCGTTGAGCCAACACTGTAGGCACGAGTCACACAGACTTAAACAGATTTTACTCTCCAAGGTTTCCAGGTGTTTACTATTTAGTCTGTTGTCTTATCGGAGGAAATGAAAAGAGGAATTCGGGGCTCAAACTGGCAATGAAAATACTGTAGAGCCTGATTAAGCTGGGGTATAGAACAAATTGCCACTCGTTTTGGATTATTTTCGCCTAAGGTGTCACTTTGAATCAAGGTAACTTTTAGGCATTTATCTTTTAAGTTGTTGGGCTTTTGTTTCTGGCAATGTTGCAGTGTTCAGTGACAGCCCTGTTTCAAGGGCTCCTCCCTCAGGTGTGGGAAGGAGCCGCTATTTGGATGCCGCTTCTCTAAGCGAAAAGGACTGTTACTCTCATTGGTCATGTGAGAAAAACAAGGCTCAGAGACAGAAGTCACTTGTCCAAGAGCCAGACTGAGGGCTCTCACCCCTGTCTTCTGTGACCACTGTGTCCATGCTTCTGCATCTCACAACGCAGGTGTGGCGCTTGGGCGTGCCTGGGGGCGCTGTGTTCATGAGCAGGATGTAATTTCACGGCTACGACCAATGGCACCCGGTGTTCTACCTACAGGGGACGGAAGATCTACGAGCCTCCTCGCTATATGACTGTAAACCAGGCAGCCCAGCAGCTTCTGGAGGTCATTCGGAACCGAAGAGCTCGAGGAGAAGATCCAGGTACTCAAATCCCCAGCAGCGCTCTTGTATCCCGTCCCCGCTACTCCCCTGTACTGCAGTGTGTAAACGATAGAGCGGCTGACGCGCACGCACACACACACACCACGGCGTGTGGACGCTGGAGCGGCCGGCGCGCACACCGAGATGGAAGGCCGCCGCCACCGAGGCGGAGTCACCTGCGCACATCCTACTCATTTTCCAGCCTCAACTCAAACCTCTGAGGCTGCGAGTTGTCCTGAAAGGAAAATAGCGCACAGGACTCCGTAGTGAGGCTTGTCCTGCAAACAGACTTATTCTGTTTCCTCATTCTCGGCACTGAGACCGGGGCTGGTTTCCTTCAGGATAGAGATGTGGAAAGTTGTCCTTATAGTCCTGCCATCTAGACACAGTATATAATAAAATGTCGATGGTCAGCAAATCTTTACTGAGAGGTCCTTAAATGAGCTGGTCAGTATGTTTCAAGGTGCTGACTGCCTTTGGACACCTGACTCCTGATGGGAAAGATCGATAAAGAGATTCTGGAATGCAGGTAATTTAGAAAAGCCTTCGGTTAGATCATTGGTCCTCAGAGAATGACTAAGGAGATTTACAATATTTGAGGCTTAACTGCTGGACAGGCTAATGCGTTCGAGGAACTGAATGGCCGTGTCTCTCTCTGTTAACCAGTGGTCACCGAGGAGACACTGTGTGTTGGCCTGGCCCGGGTTGGAGCTGAGGACCAGAAGATCGCAGCTGGCACGCTGCGGGAGATGTGCTCTGTGGACTTGGGGGGACCCCTGCACTCCCTCATCATCACGGGAGGCAGCCTACACCCACTGGAGATGGAGATGCTGAGTCTGTTCCCTCTGCCGGAGACCAGCTCGGGGTCCCAGAGCACTGAGGGGCCCCACCCATAGACGTCTGCTGTGGAGGTTGATCTCAGTCCCAGGGCTCGTGTCATGTTTGTGTAACAGAGGGAACGGGTTTTCGGTTTGCCTAGTAAGCACAGTGACCACGGAGAGCGACGTGGATGCCACCATGCTGTCTACTGTGGCCGCGAGCTTTTCCCTCTGATGTCACCAGCCAGTGCTGCTGTTCTCTGCCGGTTGTCAGGATGTAAACACATGGAGCAGACCAAGCAGGAAACTTGTAGATAGACACCATCAGCAGTACTGTCGAAAAGCAGCCTTTCCTCATGAAACCTCTACACAAGGGGGAACTTCTTCCAGACACGTGGCCCTGGCAATGGTGGGATAAGTGCCTCTGAGCCAAAGCCCATCGGAGCACATGCCACACAGTGACTTCGCCCTGGACCGCCTTGTCTTACTGAGCCCACATCCTAATTGTGGGGCTCGTACGCGGCTGTCCTGGGAGGTTATATAATCATCAATTATAAATGCTCAGCCAGCCGTGTACAGTTGCTCTCTGGTTTCAGATAGCAACTCTTACAGCTAAGCTGACAAATGGAAAACTTGGTGACTGCAGAATAAAGTTTTTAAAAATTTGAGTTTGAAGACTGTGGTGGATTAGTCAAGATGCGTCATGTAGTTTAGCTCAGTATGTCCCTATATAGAGGCGAACAGTCGGTCTTCTTACCAGTTGTAAACAACACTCCACTGAGTGTGTCTCCTCACCAATAGAGTTTTAGACGCTTTGTTAGTTCATAACCTAAACAGCTGTTCCACACTATGTGGCTGGTCTAGCCCTGAGTAATCCCGAGCCTCATCCACTTGTCTGACCTATATTGTGATCCACAGACAGGATTTAAAAACTGCTGTTAGAACTACATTCTGGAATGAAAAGGAAAGGAGTTTGGAATGAATGGGTGAAGATGAGAGCTCTCAGAGGAGAGACGGAAACTGGCCACCCAACCAAAACCCAAGTGCCTGGGCTTCACAGCAGAGGGCAGGTGACAGGTGAATAGAAATTGTCATATCTGAGGAATAAAGAAGATTGGAGGGGAGGAAAACAGCCTCAGTGCCACGTGGGGCGATGTCAGGCAGTGTAATATATCTAGAGCAGGTCCTCAAATAACATTCTGTTATAACATTGGTAAGAAAAAAATCTATTCCGGGCCAATGCCGGGCGGTGCATTGGCCTTTCACCTGTCCCAGCGGGAGGAGGGAGTGCACCTGGGATGGAATAGAAAATTCTTTGGGGTGCTAAGTAGGATCGGATCCACTTATTAGTGATGAGGGCGGATCCCTGGTTCACAAACAGCTCTGTGAGGTCGCTTTCCTGAGCTGCTTCCTCTCCACAATCTCACAACTTCCTGGTTCCCCAGGCTCCTCTCTTTGGTCCTCGGGCCAGAAATGTGGAGCTGTAGCCACTGTAGTCTGCTGCTGTGTCTCAGCTTCGTGATCGGGCCTCCATCCCAACCCATGTGGGGAGGTGGAGGGGAAGAAAAGCAGCTGGGGGTTGCTGCTCTCTCTAAATCATGGCTCCACCAGCAGAGAAAAGTGCCCATCACGGGGGGGTGCTTCTGGTGTCCATAGTTGCTGGAAGTTGTGTCCACATCTGTTTGGTCCCTCCTGTTCCCTCTCCATGCCATCTCTGGTCTGGAGTAATGAGGAGTTTGCTTGTTGCCACATTGTGGGTAATGAGGTTGAACGAGGGAAGGGAAAGTGCTGTGTTTCTAAAGTTGCTCAGAGGGATGTGTATTCGATGAGCACCGAGGGAGGGAGCTGCTCACGATTCCTGAACTGGGGGACTGAGGCTGGACTTTTTAGAATAACACTGGGAGGCTTCTGGGGGGAAGAAGCAAAAACACGCAAGATAGGTAGCAAAATACTGCCACGAATAGGGCGCTGAACCTGTGTGAGAGCAGCAGAGGCCGCTCTCGGGTGTGACAGGTCACTGTGGACCTCAGAGGGGAATTCCAGAGGACACAGGAAAGGCAGGAGTCCTGGCAGGTGCTGGAGGCCCGCAGGTCAAAGTCCAGTGCGCAGAGGGGCCCCCAGAAGGTAATCAGGAAGCCGGGGAGGGAGATGTCTGTAAAAGGCCTGGCGCATGTCTCACTCAGCACTTTCTTGTGCTTCCTGCCTCAGGCCAGACTATTTTTGGGGGTGGGAG